AGGACACTCGCAGTCCAGGCTCCGCTGTGACCCTGGGCAGATCCCTTCCCTGCTCTGGGCCTCGGTGTCTCCTGCACAACGGGTGCAGTCCCTCTTGTCTGGGCCCCTCCCCGAAGCCCCAGTGCTCGGAAGCGGACACGCGCCTCACCGACCTGTCCCCTGTCCCCTGTCCCATCTGCAGGAAGCCAGCGCCAGCGGCCGCCATGGCGTCGCGCATCGGGCTGCGCATGCAGCTCATGCGGGAGCAGGCGCAGCAGGAGGAGCAGCGGGAGCGCATGCAGCAGCAGGCCGTCATGCACTACATGCAGCAGCAGCAGCAGCAGCAGCTGGGGGGGCCGCCCACCCCGGCCATCAGCACCCCCGTCCACTTCCAGTCTCCACCCCCTGTGCCCGGGGAGGTGCTGAAGGTAGGGCTCGCTCCAGCCTGTCCCCTCCGGCCCGTCCCAGGACACACTCGAGCCGCCTTCTCCCCCCCAGGTGCAGTCCTACCTGGAGAACCCCACCTCCTACCACCTGCAGCAGTCCCGGGACCAGAAGGTGCGGGAGTACCTGTCCGAGACCTACGGGAACAAGTTTAATGCGCACATGAGCCCCGCCCAGGGCTCCCCGAAGCCCCTGCCAGCCGCCTCCCCGGGGGTGCGGGCTGGCCACGTGGTGTCCTCCTCAGCGGGCAACAGTGCGCCCAACAGCCCCATGGCCATGCTGCACATCGGCTCCAACCCTGAGAGGGAGGTGAGTGAGGAGCTGGCCCGTGGCTGCCACCGAGGTACTGCCCTCAGGGGGCCCCAGTCTGAGGGGGGACTCAGCCCTGTCCTCAGGGAGCCCCAGTCTGAGGGGACACGGCCCTGTCCTCGGGGGGGCCCCGCCTGCTGGGAGACCCACAGGAAACCTGCACAGCCAATCTCCCTGAGCAGTTTGGCTCCTTGGGAGGAGGCCTGGCGGGGCCCTGGGGCTGTGGGACCTGGAAGCTCATGGCTCCCCGCCCCCCACCCCATCAGGAGGTGGAGCAGGGTGGGCTCCACGGTGCCTCAGGGCAGGGCGCCCGCCCCAGCAGGCTTTTCTCTTTCAGTTCGACGTCATCGACAACATTATGTGTCTGGACGACGTCCTGGGCTTCATCAATCCTGAGTCTCAGATGCCCAACACGGTACTGCTGGCAGTGAGGGTGGCGGTGCCAGAGGGAGAGGCGGAGTCCGAGGGAGGGGCTGCGTTCCTACCTGGCTCTGGGTCTGGAGAGAACCAGAACCGGGGTCGCCTCCATCAAATCATGTAACAAGGGCCGGCCGGGAGCACTGGAGTCCTGAGGGGCATGCGTCCACCTGCGTACACGATGGGGCTTCACAGGGACCAGCGCCTGGGCCGTCGGGGAGGCTCCCTGGTGGGCGGGGGCAGGAGGCACGGTGCTGGCCCTCCGCAGAGGGGGGCAGGGAGCACTCCTGGGGGCAGCAGTGGCCAGAAGGAGGCCCAGAGCTGGTGAGCTCCTTTGGGTCCCGGGGCTCCCCTCCTCTCCAAGCCTGGGGCCCAGCGGGCACAGGCCCGGCCTCACTCCATGGGGCGAGTGACATGGGCGGCTCGGTCCCCTTCCTCCAGAGCCAGCACGCTCCCCGGCCTCCTGGGCAGAGGGAGGCGGCAGGGGGGATGGAGCCAGGCTTGGAATCAAGAGGCCTGGCTTCTGGCTTTGGCTGTGACCGTGGGAAGTCTCTTCACTCTTCGAGTCCTTGCTCTCAGCTGCAAAATAGGGAAGATGCCTTCTCCTCACAGGATGGTGGGAAGATCAGACACAGGGGGGGCTAGCTGCGCACAAAGGTGACGCGTGTGAAGGTGCAGGCGTCCCCGCCCCTTCCTGGGGGTTCTGAGCCTCTGCTGTTCCCTGCTGCCCCTCGGGCCTGAGCCTGCCGCCCTGGCCCCCGGCCCCTGCCACTGTGGGAACTCCGCACCCCGCCCCCATCTCACAGTGGGGACGCAAGGAGTCCCTCCTCCACCCCCAGCCAACAAGACATTGCCCAGTAGCTCAGCAGGAGCTGCCCAGGGCCAGCTGGGCCGGAAACAGACTGCCAGCAGGGGCACGAGGTCTAGGGAGGGAGAGAGGGCCCGTGCCCGTCCGTGTAGTGGTCTCTGTGCCCTGTGGGTGCCTGTGCCCGTGAGGGCTCTGGGCCTGTGACGTGCTCTGTGTGTTTCTGGGGCAGGAGCTGGGGGGTCTTTCCAGAGCCCAGGTCTGCTCCTGCCAGGCACTTGCTTACACCCCACTGGCTGCCCATCCCCAGATCCCAGGTCGTTGCAAGTTGAGCCCAGCACGTCGGGATCCAGCTTCACCCCCTGCCTGGCCCTGGGTCACTGCACTCCTGCAGGCAGCCCCCACCCGCCCCTGTAGGACCCTCCTCTCAGTTCTGCTCAGGACTCCAGTTCCACGCCCTCTGGATGCCTTCCAGAAACTTCAGAGTAGATTAGGTGCCCCACCCAGGACCTCCTAAAGCCTGGGGGGCGGAGCCTCTCCCCGACTTGTACCTGGCTGTTCACTGCCTCCTCGTTCCCTGTGGAGCCTGAACTCTTGGGGCCTGTGGCCTGGTCAGCCCTGGACTCTGCAGACTCTCAGGTGGAATTGCCGGCTGGAGAGGCCCCGAGTGAATTCCGACCCCGCTGGTGCCTGCAGCAGGACCCTTAGAGCTGAAACTGGCCTGGAGTGATGGGCCCTAGTGAGGACCCCTCATGGAGAGGGGGCTGCTCACTGGGCCCCCCTCTCCACCTCACCCCACAGCTGCCGCTGTCCAGCAGCCACCTGAATGTGTACAGTGGTGACCCTCAGGTCACAGCCTCCCTGGTGGGTGTCACCAGCAGCTCCTGCCCAGCTGACCTGACCCAGAAGCGTGAGCTTACAGGTACCTCCTCCCTGCCTCCCTGTGTCCTGGCCTCCCTCTCTCCCTCCTCTCCCTCCCTCCCAGCTCCTCCTGCTTCTCTCCTGGCCTCCAGATGCTGAGAGCCGGGCCCTGGCCAAGGAGCGGCAGAAGAAGGACAATCAC